AAAATGAGAAATCACCCCACAGGCACGCTGCAATCCCTTCTCCTCCATTCTCCTCTTGGGATCCTAGGGATCTTGGGTACACACGTACGTGTACCTGGTGTGAGTTTAAGCCGCCGGGTCCAGAACTCAAGCCATAATCAACTACATGGGAGTCCAGCGACATAGCCATTACGCTAACTGCTGGTCCCAAATCAAATAATCTTTAAAGTGTGATGAAAATCGTGATATAAGAGGTAAAGCTAGCTACAAAACCCTAAGGTAGCGGCCTCTCTAAGGTGTTAAAAGGGGCCTTTGTATGCAAGGGTCCTTTCAGCTGAGATCTGAATGATGAGTAAGAACTGGATAAAGATTGGAGGGAGCAGAGAGAAGAGTTTCAAGGGAGGGAACAACAGCTACAAAGGATCAGAGATCTCAATGCACTTTAGAAATGTGAGGAATTCGGGGCTAGCAGATGATGTAGCAGATATATCTCTGACTCCCACATGGCCAATTACAGTTTAGGTCCTGAACCTGGATGCTTGCTTTCTCACTTTCCCTCTATTTCTCTCTCTCTCTCTCTTTCTCTGGTCAAATTAAAAGAAGATAATGGGAACCAGCAGTTAGCGTAATGGCTATGTCGCTGGACTCCCACGTAGTCGTCCGCGGTTCGCGTCCTGGACCCGGTGGCTTAAAACTCACGCCAGGCACGTATGCGTGCGTGCTCAAGATCCCGAAAGGAGAATGGAGGAGAAGGGATTGCGATGTGACCATCCCCACTTGGGGGTGATTTCTCGCTTTCTGTGTCTATGTCTCTGTCTGTCTGGTGAGCGCACGTGCCCTACAGCAAAAACCTCTCCAAAAAAAAGAAAAAGATGATAATAATAGGGGCTGGCATGGTGGTTAAAGGCACTGGACTCCCACATGGCCAACCGCAGTTCAAGTACCTCACCTGGCAACTTGCTTTCTCACTTTATCTCACTCTGTCCGTCTCTGGTCAAATTTAAATAAATAAATAAACAAATAAATAAATGGATAAATAAAGTTAAATAAAATAACTCTTTAAGAAAAAATGATGAGGGACCAGCAGGTGGCATGGTGGTTAAGGTGCTGGACACTCCCATCTGACTGACCACGGTTCATGTCCTGGACCTGGTGGCTCACTCTCTCTCTCTCTCTCCCCGCCTCTGGTCAAATTTTTTTTAAAAAGGAGAAGAAATTAAAATAATTCTTCAAAAAAAAATGATAATAAATAAAATTAAATTTTTTTGTTTTTAAAAATAAAGGTGAGGAATTAGCTCACATAGGCTGCACTGCGGGGTTTGTGGTGAGGAGTGTGAGAAAGTTAGGCTAAAAGAAAAAGTCTCTATAAGTCACATTGTAAAATTCAGATTTTGCTCTGAGGATAATGACAAGCCTTTGGAGACCAGCAGATGGCATAATGCTTACATTGCTGCACTCCCATGTAGTTGACCGCAGTTCAAGTCTTGGACTGGTGGCTTAAAACACGCCAGGCGCGTTGGGAACCAGCAGTTAGGTAATGGCTATGTTGCTGGACTCCCACGTAGTCAACTGCGGTTCGCGTACCAGACCCGGTGGCTTAAAACTCACGCCGGGCGCGTGTGCATGCGTGCCCAAGATCCCGAGAGGAGAATGAAGGAGAAGGGATTGCGGCGTGACCATCCCCCCTGGGGGGGTGATTTCTCGCTTTCTGTCTCTATGTCTCTCTCTGTCTGTCTGGCGAGCGCACACGTCCTATAGCGAAAAATCTCTCAAAAAAAAAAAAAAGAAAGAAAGAAAGAAAGAAAGAAAGAAAGAAAACACTCCAGGCGCGTGTGTGTGCATGCCCAAAATCCCAAGAGAAGACTGGAGAAGAAGGGATTGCAGTGTGGCCATTCCCTTTGGGGGGTAATTTCTCACTTTCGGTCTCACTGTCTCTCCGGCAAGCGCACATGCCCTATAGCAAAAAACTTCTCTAAAAAAAATGACAAGTCTTTGAAAAGTTTAAGTCAGAGGAGTGGCAGGGCATATTTGTTTTTTAGAAAGGTCATATTGTCTGCTTTGAGAGGAGTAAATAAGAGGAGAGCATAATTATCTGCAAGGAAACTAAATTATATAACGGGCTAAAGAGGCAGTAGTTGGGATAAAAAGAGGTAGGTAAACTAAAAAACATAAGCTGCAACATTTGGTAATTAATGAAATATACGTGCTGAGGAAACAAGAAATTAAGGATGGTCACTGCATTTCTGGCATGGGTAATTGGGCATACCTTCTATGCACTCAATAGATGATAGTACTTTATCATAGTGATTATTACCACAATGTGTCTTAATTGTTATGAGAGGGCAGGGACCATATTTACCACCTTTTTTTTTTTTTTCTGCCATAGGGTGAATGCACTCACCAAAGACAAACAGAGACAGAGGGAAAGTGAGAAAGCATCTTACCCCCTCCTCACCCAGGGATGGCTACGCTACAATCTGCAATTCCTTCTCCTCCATTCTCCTCTTGAGATCTTGAGAACTCATGCACATGCACCGGATGTGTTTTGCAAGTTGCTGGATCTGGGACTTGAATTGCACAGTTGGCCATGTGGGATCCCAGCCACGTTAACCTCCACCCCACCTGCTGGCCCCCATATTTACCATCTTAACTGACAATGCCGAGCACACAGTTACTGCCTAGCACATATGGTACTAAGCATATTCAATAAATTTTTTTTTTTGGAGAGGTTTTTGCCATAGGGCGCGTGCGCTCGCCAGACAGACAGAGACAGAGACATAGAGACAGAAAGCGAGAAATCACCCCCCAGGGGGGATGGTCACGCCGCAATCCCTTCTCCTCCATTCTCCTCTCGGGATCTTGGGCATGCACGCATATGCGCCCGGCGTGAGTTTTAAGCCACCGGGTCCAGGACGCGAACCGCGGTCGACTACGTGGGAGTCCAGCGACATAGCCATTATGCTAACTGCTGGTTCCCTTCAATAAATTTTTTAAAAGTTGTTTTCTTTATTCATGATAGAGCACATGCACATGAAGTAAGAGAGAGAGAGATGAGCACCCTCTACATGGTCTGGTCACGGTGGGATCCCTTTCCATCAGCCTTCCAGCCCATTGGATCATGGACATTCGTGTGTGTGCCTGGTGTGTTTCAGCTGACAGGGCTACACATGCAAACTGCAGTCACCATGTGGGTTCTGGCTTCTCTTGAGCAGTGTATTATTGTTGTTTCACGGAGCCAGTCCTATAAATGTTTACAGAATTTGGGACCAGCAGTTGGTGTGGTGGTTAAGGTGCTGGACATTCCCACATGGCTGACCATGGTTCTAGTCCTGGACCTGGTGGCTTACTTTCCCTCTGTGTGTGTGTTTCTCTGTGGTCAAATTTAAAAAAATAAATAAGTGAATGAATAAATAAAAAAAATAAATAATTATTAAAAAATTTTTACAGGATTTAAATTTCACTGGATAGTGGTACTGGAAGAGAAGCAGGCAGGGGAAAGCTAACATGTTCGGTTTAATATATACTAAATTTGTGGCACCTATGAAATACCCAAGTAGGTTTTTTTCAGTAGATAGTGGATTAGACTGGACGTTTAGAGAAATATCTGGAATGGAGATGGGGTACGTAGCAGCATTTGGCAGTCATTTGAGCTGGGGAGAGAATAAGACCACCCAGGAAGGGTGCGGAAACTACAAAGGACACAGGATCTCAGATACACTTCTGTGGCTTAAGGAACAAGCAGCAGAAGTTCCTTTTGTCACAAAAGAAGCTGTGAGAAAAATAAAAAGGAAGGACCAGCAGTTAGCATAATGGCTATGTCTCTGGACTCTGACGCAGCTGACCGCAGTTCGAGTCCTGGACCCGGTGGCTTAAACTCATGCTGGGTGCGTGTGTGTGCATGCCCAAGATCCTGAGAGGAGAATGAAGGAGAAGGGATTGTGGCGTGGCCATTCCCCCAGGGGGTGATTTCTCGCTTTCTGTCTCTCTGTCTCTGTCTTTCTGGCGAGTGCAAGCGCCTTATAGCAAAAAAAAAAAAAAAAAAATCCTCCCCAAAAAAAAAAAAAAAAAAAAAATCCAAAAAAAAAAGAAGAAGAAAAATAAAAAAGACACTAGCAGAATGTTTGTAGGAGAGAACATCAATTGTGTTGCCTACTTTTTCATCAAAAGGATGTCAAGCAACATTAGGACTACAAAGTGTCCATGCAAGATGCAAGGTCAGGGGTGATCCTAGTAAGGAGTGACCTTGGAAAGGTGAGGTAGTGAGGGGAGAGGAACCAGAAACCCCAATGTGTAGGCAACTCTTTCAAGAAGTTTGACTGTGGCCAGTTCAGCGGCCAGGTGGTTAAGGCAGCCGGATCCTACATGGCTGACCACATAGTTCAAGTCCTGGACTAATGGCTTGAAAAAATATCCCAAGCATGTGCATATGGGTGCCCAAATCCCAACAGGACGGAGATACGGAGAACAAATTGAGGCATGATCACAGCCCGTGGTGGGGGGGAGGTGGTGTGTGCTTTCTCTCTCTCCCTCTCTCTCTCTCTCTCTCTCTCTCTGAGTCTTTGGCAAGCACATGCATCCACTGGTAAATTAAAAAAAAAAAAAAAAAAGTAAATGGGAAGGAGACAGAAAACTGGTCTCTCTCTCTCTCTCTGAGTCTTTGGCAAGCACATGCATCCACTGGTAAATTAAAAAAAAAAAAAAAAAGTAAATGGGAAGGAGACAGTAAACTGGAGAAACTAAAGCACAGGAGAGAGAGCTTCAGAAAAGGTAGGAGAGAATGAGATCCAAGCACTTAAACCCCAGATGACGGAATTCACAGTGAAACCAGACACTACTCTGTAAGTGGGAAGGAAGAGTTGAGGGGTTGGGTTCTCTACACATTAAAAGCACAGCAAACTAAGGAGGAAGATCACTGAGGCAGAAGCCCATAACTGGCCACTCAGCCCTCAAATCACGTGTCAGGGGAGGAGAGTTGGCTCTCTGATGTCACTGGGGGGAGAGGCATTCACTCTACCCGACCTCTCAGAAAGCGAGCCTCACATTGTGCAGTGGAGACACTGAGAGAGGGGGAAAAGAGGAGTGGTCAGGTAAGGAGGACACACAGGTGTGGTTTGGGGGTTCTGATTCAATTTTAGTTGATAAGTTTATTGTGTCACTCATTAAGGCCTGTCTCTCCTTAAGCTCCAAGCTCATTCCCATCTTTTATCTCCAGTGTCTGATGCTGCTTCCTGCATGGTGCTCCATCAGGCCTTGTTAAGTGCCTGAATGAATGAACCCACCAGCATCGAGTAGTCGACCACCCCCACCAAGAGGCCTTTGTATAAAAGATCGTATCAAGGCTCCTCAGCTTCCAAAAGCGCATCCTAGATTGGGAGGATAGTGCTATTTCAACTCTGAACACCTCTGTTCCTCCCAGCTGCTTTCTCTTTCTCTCTGATTTGGTTTGTTTCTCTGGCCCTCTGTTTCTCTGTCTTCATGTCTGAGTCTGCACAGGAAGCACGCAGCTTTAGGTCTGAGGTGATCAGTAACGGAAACATTGATGCCTGTGCAAATTTAATAATGGGTCACAAGCTTTTTGATCTTTGTTGTTACCGCCTGTCTCTTCTCCTGTGTTTCTGTCTCAGACTTCATTCTTCTCTTCTCTTTCCTATGTCCAGCTCGAGACTCCCACCACCACTCAGGACCAACTGCTCCTGTTCCTGGATCTTCTGATGCTCCCCACAGGGTACGTGGAAGAAAATTACCAAGCTAGGCCATCTCGGATTTCCTGCCTTGCCGGCCATGCGCCCTGCTGACCACATCCTCTCTCATCTTATAGACTTCCTCACCAGACACATCACCCGAGTTCTCAGTCCCCTAAACCGGTCACTGACCCTACTCAGGCCCTCCGTTACTCTCCTCCTAGCCCCAAGTCTCCTGCCCTTACCTTTCCCAGCATTGCCCTAAGAACCATGTCTCCCTGCCTAGAGGCGGCCAGTCCTATTCCCTTCTGCACCTCCAATGCCCACTTTTCCCACAGGTGACAGTGCTGACTACAATGCTGTCAGGCCGGTGGTGGCCTGGTACCTGGGGGAGCCTAGGGTTTGGATCCCGAAACCCTTCTCGGGGATCCCAGCTCTGTGCCCTCTACGCCTTCACTTACACGGGGGCAGATGGCCAGCAGGTGTCTCTGGCTGAAGGGGACAGGTTCCTACTGCTTCGAAAGACCAACTCGGACTGGTGGTTGGCAAAGCGCCTGGGAGCACCCTCTACCTCTCGACCCATCTTTGTCCCAGCTGCTTACATGACGGAAGAATCTGTCTCTTCTCAGAGCCCAAGTACCATCACGTCCAGCCAACCCTGCTGGACTTCAGGTGAGTAAACCTGAAGCCCTTCCCTTATACCTTCCTACCTCCCTGGCTTCTGGAAATCATTTGAAGACTCCTCTCCCCCAGGCCTCTGCTGACTCTTCTCTATATTTAATCTGATCAGCCCACCCCTCATCCCCTTGGTGGTGTCTCCACCCATTCCCAGTCTCAGGTCTTCTAGTTCTCATGTCATTTTCCACAGCCTCCCTCTGCTCGCCTTGTCGTCCCTCTGAGCCCCCCGGATAGGAGACCCAGCCAAGCCCACACTTGTGACCACCTGACTTCTACCCTTCCCATTTTTCTGTTTCAAGGGCCAACGTTGCTTCATGGCTCCCTGGAGGAGTTGCATCAGTCTCAGGCACTTCCAAGCAGAGCTCAGGTTATATCTGAGCAGCCTCCTCCCCTTCCACCCAAAATGTGTAGAAGTGTCAGTGTTACCAATCTGAGGCCCAGCCTCCTGGGCTTTCCCCTCCAGGAAGGACCAAGTGCAAAGGCGCTCTCCCAGGAAGACATGCTGATAGAGGCCAAGGCCGGCCTGGTGAGTCACAACTCTAATTTGTTTCTTCTTTTAGATTGTTTTCTCCATAGGGGGAGTGCACTAGCCAGAGAGAGAGGGAAAGTGAGAAATCACTCCCCAAGGGGAATGACCACACTGTAATCCCTTCTTCTCCACTCTCCTCTTTGGATTTTGGACGTGCACACAAATGTGCCTGGCAGGATTTTCAAGCTGCTGGGTCGGGACTCAAACAGCACAAACAGCACAGTCAGCCATGCGGGATCCAGTGCTTTAACCACTACACCACCTGCTGGCCCATCATTGCTCTTCTAACATGGTTGGTCAACAGATATTTACACTGTGGGTTGTAGGCACAGTGGCTGCAGGACACTGAGCATCCCTGTCCTCAGGGGGCTGTCCTGAGGGTACACACACCTAAACAAATAAGCAAGATCGCCCTCTGTGGCATGACAAAGAGTAAGTATGGCACGGAGTGACTGGGAGAGGTCAGAAAGTCTCTGGGGAGATGGCATTTAGTTGAATCTGCACCAGAAGAAAGAAGAGGCAGCCAGAAGGCAAATAGCAACCGTGGCACATAGGGGGGACTCAAAGAAGGCCTACCCATTATGCTTTTCTCTCTCCTTCCTGACTCCTAGCCCAGGGCAGGATTTTCTGTGTCCTATTTTGCTAGGTCACCAGCAGGTCCCCTCTGGAGATGGGAGCGCTCTTGCTTAGCCCCTCCTCTCTCGCTTTCTCACTAGTGGGTGGACACAGTTCTTCCTCTCTCTACCAGGGGTCTCTGACAGACTCTCTTCTTTCACCCTGCAGGACATGAGGGTGGGGCGCTCCCCTTAACCTCCCCCCACCTCACACAGCAAGTCTGTTCCCCTTTCCTGCAGCCCTGGGGTGGGGGTGGAGAGGAGGGAAGTTGGCAACAGGAAGTGAGGAGAAAAGCAAAGAAGATCGTGAGGGAGAGAATTTTCAGACAGCGTTGGGGACTGGGGTTCCTCCCCCAGTACCTAGGTCACCCCAGCCAGGAGCTGCTGGTGAGAAAATGGTAGAGGGAGGAGGAGGCGGTAAGGAGGAAGAAGGGAGGGGAGGGACAGAGGCAGAATAACCACCTCCTTCTTCCCCTTCCTGGCAGGCAGGACCCCAGCATTTTCCACAGCCTCCCTCTGCTCGCCTTGTCGTCCCTCTGAGCCCCCCGGATAGGAGACCCAGCCAAGCCCACACTTGTGACCACCTGACTTCTACCCTTCCCATTTTTCTGTTTCAAGGGCCAACGTTGCTTCATGGCTCCCTGGAGGAGTTGCATCAGTCTCAGGCACTTCCAAGCAGAGCTCAGGTTATATCTGAGCAGCCTCCTCCCCTTCCACCCAAAATGTGTAGAAGTGTCAGTGTTACCAATCTGAGGCCCAGCCTCCTGGGCTTTCCCCTCCAGGAAGGACCAAGTGCAAAGGCGCTCTCCCAGGAAGACATGCTGATAGAGGCCAAGGCCGGCCTGGTGAGTCACAACTCTAATTTGTTTCTTCTTTTAGATTGTTTTCTCCATAGGGGGAGTGCACTAGCCAGAGAGAGAGGGAAAGTGAGAAATCACTCCCCAAGGGGAATGACCACACTGTAATCCCTTCTTCTCCACTCTCCTCTTTGGATTTTGGACGTGCACACAAATGTGCCTGGCAGGATTTTCAAGCTGCTGGGTCGGGACTCAAACAGCACAAACAGCACAGTCAGCCATGCGGGATCCAGTGCTTTAACCACTACACCACCTGCTGGCCCATCATTGCTCTTCTAACATGGTTGGTCAACAGATATTTACACTGTGGGTTGTAGGCACAGTGGCTGCAGGACACTGAGCATCCCTGTCCTCAGGGGGCTGTCCTGAGGGTACACACACCTAAACAAATAAGCAAGATCGCCCTCTGTGGCATGACAAAGAGTAAGTATGGCACGGAGTGACTGGGAGAGGTCAGAAAGTCTCTGGGGAGATGGCATTTAGTTGAATCTGCACCAGAAGAAAGAAGAGGCAGCCAGAAGGCAAATAGCAACCGTGGCACATAGGGGGGACTCAAAGAAGGCCTACCCATTATGCTTTTCTCTCTCCTTCCTGACTCCTAGCCCAGGGCAGGATTTTCTGTGTCCTATTTTGCTAGGTCACCAGCAGGTCCCCTCTGGAGATGGGAGCGCTCTTGCTTAGCCCCTCCTCTCTCGCTTTCTCACTAGTGGGTGGACACAGTTCTTCCTCTCTCTACCAGGGGTCTCTGACAGACTCTCTTCTTTCACCCTGCAGGACATGAGGGTGGGGCGCTCCCCTTAACCTCCCCCCACCTCACACAGCAAGTCTGTTCCCCTTTCCTGCAGCCCTGGGGTGGGGGTGGAGAGGAGGGAAGTTGGCAACAGGAAGTGAGGAGAAAAGCAAAGAAGATCGTGAGGGAGAGAATTTTCAGACAGCGTTGGGGACTGGGGTTCCTCCCCCAGTACCTAGGTCACCCCAGCCAGGAGCTGCTGGTGAGAAAATGGTAGAGGGAGGAGGAGGCGGTAAGGAGGAAGAAGGGAGGGGAGGGACAGAGGCAGAATAACCACCTCCTTCTTCCCCTTCCTGGCAGGCAGGACCCCAGCCCCTCATGTCAGATCCCCCTGTGTATTGTAACCTGGTGGACCTTCGCCGCTGTCCCCGGTCCCCTCCCCCGGGTCCTGCATGCCCCCCACTGCAGAGGCTGGACTCCTGGGAGCAGCACCTTGATCCCAACTCCGGACGCTGCTTCTACATAAATCCGCTGACTGGCTGCAAGTCCTGGAAGCCCCCGCGCCGCAGCCGCACCCGACAGACGGTGAGGCCTTACCGCTGG